CATATCAAATGTAAAAGACCCTGCTACTGTGCTTAAATATGTAAAGTCTAGGTACCAAATATGAATGCTCATTGGAACAATTACTATGAAAATATTTATAAAAAAGACACAGGGAGGCTGAAGATGCCAACTCAGGAATAATACCATTCTTATTTGTATTTTATCAGGAATCTCTAGGTACATAGTAAAAGCACCGGATCTGATGTGGCAGCAATATTTAATGCATAGATGAATGGTAGACTTATAAAGGTGTAAGATAGATTCTATTGAGAAAAAATTATCTAACACAATACAGTGAACCAACTTTCCTAGCAGCAGACCAAGCAATTGATTCAATATAATCTTTTCACTTCATGTCTGTGGAAAACATTTGCACATGAAGATACAATGAATGCAATGAGTCACTTTTCTGGAGGTTAGCATCAGCCATATTGATAAAAGATAAAAATGGTTCTCTATAATAATTATAAGAGTGCAGTTCTGTTTTGAGGCATTGAAATTAACTCGTCATTTCTTGCCCTAGTTAACAACAGATTAAGTACTGGTAGTCTATGATATTTGGATAAACATTGGTTAACTAGAATCCTCAACTTTATATACAAGAGATATTTTGAGTCCTTTTTGAGAGGAAAAATAAAAATAATAAAGTAATGTAGAAACCAATATTTTAGCTTTTCTGTTATATGTAACAACCACAAACCCATTCGGAATATTAATAGAAAGAACCCTTAGAAAAAAAAAAGAGAGCAAAGCTTTCTTGTTGAAAGCAGTTACATAAAAACTTTTAAAATCTATTCTGAGTAATGAAGCTAAAATAAAAATCTGGTGTTAATCTTTGTCTCTTATGTTAGAGTTTTTATCTGGTTTCAAAAAACACAAAAGCACCCCACAAAAAATTTACTCCAAAAAAGCAATGTTTTATCTATTTCTATTGGTTAAATCAAGTAATTTCTTTGTTTACAGGAACATTTCAGTTTTAAGGTTAGAGGTGAACATTATCTCATATTGAAAAAAAAAAAAAAAATAGTACCAAGAAGGAGGTTTTATTTTTTCAAGCAATACCATCAAGATAGAATAGATAATATTTAAATATCTATTTCAAAGCCATAGACAACACTTTATTCTTGGTCATGAGTCTAATATATTTTTCTTTTAATAAATTACTAAGATTAATGATAAAGAAAGGTATTTTAACAAGGTTTATGCTGGAAAGTTTTAGAAATGAATTACCAATCATTATGTGCCTTTACAGTCAGTATAATATACTCATCTTGGTTGTTATGCTCACAAGTGACAACATAGCCTCATGGATTAAAGTGTTGGTTAAAAATATTTGGTTTTCTAGCAATTGAGAGTTCAATCCCTGGGTTGAATAGTGCAGAAGTTATATATTCTGGTTCAGTGGAAGAAACAAACATGTGACAGAAAAGTGAACAGAAATGAGTTATTAAATTAACTGCCAATAAGTCAAACAAATATGCTTACACCTTTCTATGAGGATAGATCAATAAATCCATAGCCGGATGCAAGTATTAGCTGACATTTGGTCTGAAATATTTACTGTATGTTTGATCAAAAATCCAAGAGTGCATTAATAAGGAATGAGGTTATGTTGAAAAATAAAGATAAAAATTTATTGTATTAGAAAAAGAAATAATTGTCATGCACAATTAAGTGCTTTTTCATCTCTAGGCTATGGACTTGTTGATGTTTTTACAGATATTTATTTGTTTAAGTGTGTTACTATTTCAAGAATAATTTTCTATTGTATGGACTAATCAGGTTGTAAAATATTTTATATACTTAAAACTGACTAACTGGGGTTTCAGTGCCTACAAGTTATGATGCTACTGGCTTTCACTGCATGCACATTTCTCTTTGCCCCTATTCTGGAAAAATGAGCAGAAGTACAAATTTGATTAGCCCATGATAAATGCAGGTCACCCTTATTCAATAAAAGCAAAAACACATATATATAGAGATATGTTAAACACTTCCAGGCATTCAATCTATAGAATTGTCAATTTCTTGTTAAATTGCTCTTTTGCTCACACAATCACAAAATATTTGCATTGTGCTTTGCTAATAAACAATGAAATCTCTCTTTTATATATATATATATATTATATATACAGAGCTTGGAATGAGAAAATCAGAGAGTGGAGTTTGATTTCCAGTTGAGTTCATTACATTCACTTACATGCAAATACCCCTGGGAAAAGTATGACTCCATTTCTTCTACCCCCAGCTAGCAGTTAAATATGAAGGCAGAGACTGAGCTTTTAACCTTGGTTGACAACCAGTCTAGGAGATTAACAACTATAAATTAAAAATTTGAGGAATGTTATTTTGAGACTTTGTGGCAGACTATATACATTAGTCCTCTGTATTCAATTCTTCCCAAAAATGTTGTTGGTTCTGCAAAAGCATTCACTACTATAATCAAATCATATCTGTGGGTAGTTTAGTTGTTTGGTTTGAATAATGCAGCAGCTGAACCCTTAATACGTTGAAAATCACAGTAGAGTACATCATATATATATATATATATATATATATATATATATATATATATATATATTACCAGAGTAGTATTGGGTTATCTTACTAACAGCTACTAATAGTCATGCAGTTGTAACTCTTTGTCTGCATACAAACCTATGAGTCTATATCTTTCCATGTCTGGTAATAAATTGTACATTCATAAATTTATTATAATCTGTCCATTTATAAGTCTATTTAAATTCAATTAGTCAAGTTAATAAAGAAAGTTATCTTGCTTTATGGACTGATCCCATTTAAACAAAATTTATAAAACACTGAAAAATGCAAAATACATGGAGAGAGGGAGAATGCAATTGGTATAAACCAAATGCACTTAACTGCACTTGCACATATATATATATATATATATATATATATATATATATATATATATATATATAAAAAATGTTGGAGCATATGATATATAAATTTCTATATATCAGAACAATATTAGGCAAATGAATGAGAAAGTAAAAAAAATTCTGTGTAACACATTTCGTCCTTTAGGATTTACTTTAGTTTGATGATGTCTCAAAAAACAAAATGCGTTACATATAATTTTTCTCCCCTTTTGTCATTCATTTTATATATATATATATATATATATATATGTGAAGATGACAAATAATTTTACATATTCTCTAAAATAATTTCATACATACAACCTATGCTTTTATTTGCAAAATATTAATTGAATAGAATAAAAATCTATAATGTATTTTCCTGAATGTATGCATTTTCCTGCATGTGCAACTTTATATTGGTATGTGCCCTATGCCATAAAAGGTAGAGTGTCAGCTTTTCAATACTTCTACAAATGCATTGTTAACAAGAGAATATACATCGAATAACATTTCTAGATGTTTTCCTGTATGATTATTGGTCAATATAAGTATAACAATTTGTTTATCTAGCTATATCAGTATGCATATCTATAGCTTTTATATTTGTCAGTTTAATCATCTCTTAATAATTGTGCCTTTCAAATTCAGTGTGTACAGATCAAGATGTCTGTATCACCAATTATAAGAGCCTATTTCTGTCTTTTTATACTAATTTTATCAATGTTGCCAAATGTGTATACACTCACTATATATGTATGATTAAATAAGTAGAAAAATCTTTATAAATTTAACATGTTCCATAATTTAATAAAACTTGATCAAAATTTTTTGGGAAGTAAAATGACAAAATGTTTCAATTTTTAAATTAAGCTGAATTAAATAGCGAAACATTAAAATTAATGATTTAATGATTAAATTTATAAAGATTTTCCTTCTTTAATCATTCTATCAGATTTAATTTTAATCCATATTTTCAACTGACATACACAGACTGTGTACGTGTGTGTGTTCTTGCATGTGCAAATTATTGTGTATGTGTATGTAGTTGTCTATCAATTCTGTTAAATTCATAGAACACCTGCCATGGTTGGTGAGCTAATCTCAGAAGCTGAACAGTGATTTTCATTGGATGCTCCATAAATGTGACCTTGCACCACACTAAGCTTAACTGTTTTCATAGCTAGCTATACCCATCTAAATGCAATAATAAAGGAGCCTGCAAATGAACATTTAAATGATGCTTTCATGTAGGAATCAAGATGTTTTTTTTTGTACATACACCTATGTGTGTATGTATTTCCCAGGTGTCTATGTATGGAAATAGATTTCCAATCACTTAAATCAATCCAGTTATGTGCATATGTAAAAATATATAAATTTGATATTTACATGCAAGTGTGTGTAACTTAGTGTACTCATACTTGTTAGTTAGCAAGTATGCACTTGTACGTAGTAATCATTTTGATACATGTATCTACGAAGAAGTGCTGAAAAGTTCTTTGGCAGATCAAGGAATTAACCCTTACACACACACACACACACACAAAAATTCTGATATTTGGTCAGATTTTTGGAAGTGGGTCGGGCCGAGAACTTTTCAGCATACCACGTTGTATATGAAAAATAAAGTTGAATCTGCACCCATGTGCCTGCTGCGAGTCATTGTAATAGCTAAAAATGAAATTCAAAAAGTAAAGACAAAAGGTGGAGAGGAGAAGTAAATGAAAGTACTATGGATCTGGATGCTTGTTTCAAAGAATGAACACATTTCTCGTACCATATGTACAGACAGTAGATTAAACTTTTTTTTTTTAAAAGATGTATGCGTATGTGTGCACCACTGGTTTCAATATGTCCCTTATTCTTACCACATTTAAAATTGCAAATTAATAACCCACTCCCCTAATCCTTAATATGGACGCGAAAAGAAAAAGAGGAAAAGAAAGAATCAATAAAAATCCTCAGAAAAACAAAAAAGAGAGAAGAAGAGTAAGACAAGCAGAAAAAGCGAGGGTTGGCGAACTTTTTAAAAACAATCCTAAATGCTAGATATTATACAAAAAAAAAACAAAAAAGAAAACACGAATTTTGAAAAAATAATAATACCTCATCATGGCGCGACCGGAGACGGTAAATTTTAGTGTCGGCATCAGCTGATTTCTCCAAGTCCCTTTTACAAACCTCCTTTTCACGTCTGAAGCCCAGAGACGAGGAAAGACAGGCAGAATAACTGACAACCACAGCTACTGTGTAGTGAAGCCGTCGAGAGCACACATGCTAAGCCTTAGCAATTTCAGAGCAGTTCGTCGGCCGGGCTAACACCGGGTCTGACTGCAGTGAAGAGCATTTATTATGCGAATGAGAGAGAGAAAAGGTTTTTTCTTTCTCACTTTCCGTCTTCTTTCTCTTCGTCATCAACTTCGTTACTAGCAATACAACGATCCCTCAGTCTTTTCTCTTCTGTCACCAAACTTCACTATCTCTCTAATTCTTTTTAGTAGCTTCCCGTTTAGCTTACCCAACTTCCACTTTTTCCCCGTCCGTTTAAAAAATCTTCTTCGTCCATCTCTCTTTACGATTTCTTCTTTTTCTTTTTTTTCATTCATCGAACATTTTTCATTAATCTTTGATATTTTTTTACATCCCTCTCTTTTTCTTCATTTTTATTTTTTCTCTTACTTCATTCTTTTCATTTTCTTTCTGTTCTTCATTAACTTCTTTTTTCCTAATTTTCTTAGTCTTTTTTTCTTCAACTTTCTTTTTTTCATCTAATAATCGTTTTTTCTTTTTGTTCAGTCTCTCATTTCTTTTTACTTTGCTCAATTTCAGTCTCTCATTTCTTTTTTTTTTTTTACTTTGCTCAATTTCTCTCTAATTCTTTTATTCTCTGTTCTCTCCTTTTATTCTCTCTTTCTTTTCTATTTATTTTTAAACCTTTTTCTATTTATTTTCCGGCGTTCAAGCTTTTCCCCTCCACTTTTTTCTTTCTTTGCAGTGATTGGCTGATTTATATTTCATGAATGAAATGAACTTGGCCAACTAGAGAGAGAAAGAGAGAGATCAGAGACAAATCGATAAATTGCACTTTTCTCAATCTACTCTTTCTATGCATGAATGGCACTTCCCTCATTTTCTTTTTTTTTTTTTTCTTCTTTTCAGTTCTATCTGTCTGCTTTTTATATTATTTTCCAGCACTTTATTTCTTTCCAATCAATTTTTGCTTTAATTTCGTTTTTTTTTTATTTTATTCTTTTCCCCTTTTCCTACGCACTTTATTTTTTGTACAAAATATCATTGTTTTTTATATATATATATATATATATATATATATATATATATATATATATATAAAAATACTTTTTTTCTTTTTCTAGACAAATAAGCAAATACAGAGATACCATATACAACAGCCAATTTAAATAATCATGGTTTAATATTAATTTTCCATATATATCCCAGAAAGCTTATGAGACAGGGGTTTTACAATACAAATAATTCTTTCTTAGTATTTTCTTAGTCTCAACTTAAATTTGTGAAGAAATTCACATACATATGTAAAATTTATAAGAATTCTAAATGATAGATCCTCGTAATCATCAGAATAAAGACAACTGAATCTCTTGAGGGCCTTCATACAAAGATTTTAGGATTTTCAAGAATTGCGAGATCAAAGACAACTGTATATTTTATTTTTATATAAGATGTATATAGATATTCTTTCATTACCCATGCAGCTTCAATAAAATGGAGCATCTGAAAAATATATATTTATTATTTTACTTAGTAAACCTCAAGGAAATGACAGTGAGACTTATTTTGTTTAGAAAACATGTAGGAAATTATAGTGATCCTTATTTTTAGAAAACCTTGAGGAAATAAAGGTGATCCCTATTTTGTTTAGAAAACCTCCAGGAAATTACAGTAATCCCTATTTTCAATAGTAGAGTTGCTTTATACATTTTACTTGTGTACTTTCTGTTTTCATGTTAAAGTTAATAACAATTCTCAAATATTTCAAACCTAAAACTTTTAAAAAATTATTTAAAAGTAAATAAGGTACTGAGGGACCAGAGTTTATTTCATTTTTAAATTGATGTTCATAAAGCCCAAGAGCCACACAAGGTAGAGGGTTACAAAGTAAGAGGCACAGTTTATACAGATATGTGAGGAAGATAACGATTAACCCTAAACTTAAACAGGTTATAAGTGTAGTGATCAAAGAAACATTCTTTTGGGAGTCAGTTCCATAAAGCAGTAGTTTGTGAGAAGAAGCTGCCCAAGCTCAATTTATATCTCATCAATGGAATGAGGGTGGTTTGCATAGCATGACAGGTCTTAACTGTGAAGGTTAGAATTAGTTGAAATGATATGCTCTGAGAAAGAGGTAGTTGTGCATAACACTTGTCACAGCTATGAATTGAACAACTTTTCACAATTATTATTGCCTGAATAATAGTTATGGGGAAGAAGTTAACTCAGGTGCCCACTCACCAATTCTTTTCTGTAAAACATGATGGGATGCAATTGACAATATATTTTTTTATTAAAATATCTGATGATGGGACAAGGATGTGGCTTCATGCCTTTCCCAAAAGGTACTAATTTCAAGTAAATATAAGCAACTTTATACTAAATTCAAACTTGTTTTGCTGGTTCTGTTTTAAATATTGGTAACTATTATACAACCTTACACATTTTATACACACCCATACAAGCACCAGAAAGCAACATTTTGATCATAGGCAGCATGTACAGATACTCTAATCCTAGGTATTAAGTGCCTGTTCATACATAAACTGGTAATTTTTTACATATGCAATACATCATCATCATAACCAGGTTTTTTTGTTGAGGCAGGACCAGGATTAATCTTACACAAAGAAAGGTGATTCCTGCCTGACAGAGCATCTCAGTTTACCTAAACCTACTGAGACTTGTCACAATAATTTGAGGCAAGGTTTTACAAGGCTTCCTGACACCCAGCTTGGACACTCATGATTGTCCAAGTACACCAAGTGTTTTTTTTTTCTTGAGACAGCATCTCTCTAGGAAAGTTGCCATTCAAGACTTGAGACCCCATCCTAGCATATATATATATATATATATATATATATATATATATATATATATACACACACACACACACACACATTAGATATATATATGTGTATGTGATTGGCTCCTATAAGAAGCTCAACTGTCCTTTGACATGTCTTGTTTTTTATCCTGTATATGTGTTTTTGTGTAGAAGGTAGTGGAAGAACTGGTTTAAATGCCAACCACTTGTCCATGAATTTATATATAGTTAGTACTAAGGAGCCAGGCAAACCTACCTAGGTTTCACTTAAACAGATTGTCAGGGCAATGCCAGCATTGCCCTGACGATCCATTTAGGTGAGACCTAGGTAGGTTTGCCTAGCTCTTTAGGATTATCTTAGGTTTGCTCTACTTCATGTATTGAGCACTTTATGTAGTTGCCTTTACTCATTTTGGAGGCTTTTTTCTTTGGACTTTGAGCTTGAACTCTGGACGATTGTGTTCTTGGTTCTTTCTTTTTTTATTCCTCATTTTTCCTTAGGTACCGATTTGTTCTACTACAAGTCGAACTATCCAGGGTTTTTCCAAGTGAGCATTTACCACCTATTATTTATATATATATATCTAAGATTATGCCAGATTTTATGATGTGAGTAAATGTATTCATTTTTTTTGTTTGTGGACTTATGGTGGACATTCAGTTTTGGATTAACAGAATCATCAAAAGAAAAAAAGAAATGTATACCCCTCACACAATATATATATTTTTTGTCTACCAGCCTGAACATTTGTGAAAATTTATACAAGAAAATGCACCCTCCAGTATGCAGGATTAGACCCATGTTCCCCTTTGTAGAAGAAACCACTGTTTAATCCAACATGCTTTTACGAAGAGCTTCACAATCAATCAAGTTCTTTAATAATTTTTCTCAACTGTTTAAACCAGTAAACAAAATATTGTTTAAAATAAATGGAGATTCTAGACAAATATGGGTATTCTCTAAAAATAATGTTTAAAGTAATATATAGCTGTTCCCCACTGTTCAATACTACTTAAAATTTTATTTTCATGGTAACCATCAGATATAAAATAAAGTTGTCAGTCCTAACACTCTAATTAATGTTTATCTTTTCCTCCCTACACAATACTACTTAAAGTTTCATGCACATAGCACTCATCAGGCACAAATATATAAGTGGACACTGGGGACTAAAGCTATATTTTTATCATATATATTAAAAACAACAGACATTTTGTATTGATTAATTTTACTGATCGACTTTTCTAAATTATGAATGATTCTTCTCAGACAAGGAGGAAATTCCATCAGAAATTTTCCGAGTAGGTATGTATATACTTGTCCACTCGGACAATATTTCTCTGTGAATAAAAACCACAAAACATCTTGTATAGGATACACCACAACCACACTCTCACAGAAACTCACCTTCCACCCATCAGACCATGGTGCTATCAGACAATACATTAATAAGCAGCATAAGGATCATAGTAACATTAGACGACTACTCACAAACAATACCAAAATACTACCAAAATCAAATATTACAAACAGACTTATGATCCTAGAAGCAATACTCATGCAACAAAAAAAAAATCTATAAATAAAAATAATTATAACTTAAGAGCCTGCATCCTCAAATCTATAGAAAAAAAACATACGTCACACCTCATCCATGTCACAAATACTCACTAGCTTTGCAAAACTCACCATTGTCTTTACCTACCCTGATAATGATGATGATGAGTAAATCAAAAGTTCTGACCATATTTCTTGTACTTTTCTTCTGAAATGAACTTTGGACAATTTCTGATGGAATTTCCTTTTTGTCTGAGAAGGATTATTTGTAATATGGAAAAATCAATCAGTTCAATTAATTGGCACAAAATGTCATTTTTAATAATATTTGTCTCAAAGAACATTTGCTGCCTAAATACACACACACACATATATATATATATATATATATATATATATATATATATATATATATATATGTGTGTGTGTCTAAAAATAGAGAGAAAATAGCTTTTCACACCCTTTGCATCTCTTACTGTTGATTCAATACATATTCACAAACAGCAGGATACAATTTGGGTTAAATGTTCATAAAATTTACCATGAAATAGTAGATAGATTCACCTCTTATTTGGTTCACACTCCTCCCCAGTCTTTTGAACAGGAGTAGAGGTTTATGCCTTGTTTCCTGTTGCTTCTAACACTTGCCCTTTCCTACACTAATATAACTCCACACTGTAAGCCCCTACCTTGAGTAGCTCTTGGGTCTTGAACATTAGTCAAAAAAATAATGCTGTCACTTAGATTCATGAAAGATGGTTTTAAATTAGTTACTGAAAACTGTTTTCTTGTTAAATATTACTTGTGATATTAAATTTTGCAGTGTAGGCACCTCTTTTAATTGTTTGATTTTTCTAAGTATTTTCAATGATTTTTAATATTACAGAATACTGATTATATCTGGTGTTGTATTTTCTTTATCTCGTAGGCTTTTTGGGGTTTTTTTTAATATCAAGATTTCTTTGTCTGAAAGATCTGATTCTCTGATTTCTCTTTTGATCTTTTATCTTGCCTTCTCTTTGCTCTAAAAATATTTCCCATTTTCCTCTCTTTCATTTTACTTCCAGTTTTCTCATTTATTTCATATTCCCTTTCTCATTCATCCAGAATTTCTTTTCATTGCCCAATTGCTTTTATGTTCTGTCTCCCTTCTTTCTCCCTATTTCTTTTAAATCCTTCCATATATGGTTTCACTTCTTAGAAAATTAAATTTTTTATTTGTTTCTTTCAAGACAACTTCTAGTTCGTTTATGACTTCTGTACAGAACATTTTCTCATTTTAAGACAACAAGATCCAAGGGAAGCAATTTGGTGTATTATACATATTGAGCTAAATTATTTATCTACAGGGGGAATTTAATATATACATATGCACCTTCAGGAACCAGAATCACTTATCAAGTTTTATTAAAAATCAATGACAATGATTTGTTATGGATTCTTTTCAAAAACATTCAAAACATTCCTCTTTTTTACAATATCAAGACTGAGCATATATAAATTGTCTTAATTCCAAGTACTTTCAGCTTTTATAAGCCAATATCAAAGACACATTATATCTGTTTTATTAAGAATGCATTCAACTTTTTTAATTATATATAATAAACAAACATCTAAATTATATATTAGTTAAACAAATACCTAAATCCCCTAAACAAATATCTAGTACAAGCAAAATCTAACCTATCTCTACCAATAGACAAGATTATAAAGTGACAGTAATTGTGAGTTCAATCCTTGGGCTGGATAGTACAGACTTAGATGGATTTGTTTTCAACATCTTATCAACCCTTTGCAGGCTATTTAAATCCATAAAATATTTTTAGATTGTAAGAATTTTTTTGAGATAGTAATGATACAATTCTTACAAATTAACCCATAGCTGGGGAAGAAGAGGTGGATTCATACCTTTCTCAAGGGTATCTGTACATAAGTATGTATACCAAACCTAACAAGAATTGGAACTTGGCTCTCAATTAACAATTCTGAGCCATTATCCATCATACCACCTGCACATCCAAGGTTAAAATACCTGGTATTCCCAAGCAATCATCCATCTAAGTGCTGACCAGACTCAATATTGCTTAACTTCATTGATTGTATGGGAACTGGGGTTTTAATATATGGCCATAAGCTTACAGACATAGAATTAGTGGAAACAGGGTGAGTAATAATTGAGCAGTAATAAATAAGAATTAGATTAAATATCCCTAGACATGGACAGTGGATAAGGACAATCTACCCCCATAGATTAAATAAAGGGTTCAGTTCAAAATTCCTTGAAGGTTACTTGGATTGACAAGAACTCGATGAAGGCCAGAGGGCACAAGGCCAAAACCCAAAACGTGATAATAACATCAAAAACAAAAACATCAGTCCAAATGTAAATAATGTAGATAAGATTATGAAGATTTGCCAACTTATTACAAACCACTGTTATTTCGCTTTTGATAATTTTTATAGACTGAAATTCAGATTAACAATGTGACCGATGCTTAGTAATGTTTTAGCTTATATTTTCTAAGAATTTCTAGAAACTGGTTCTTTCCAAAATATTTTACTTATATTCCTGATATATCGATGATACTTTATTAATATACCCCCCAGAATAATATTACCTGATCTTGTAAATAAACTTAACATACATCATACAAATGAATTTACTTATAGAACAATTGATTGATTGATATGTTTTTTTATGGCTTATCAACCCTTTGCAGTTTATTTAAAGCCAGAAAATATATTTGGATTATAGGAATCTTTTTTTTTTTGAGATAGATTGAATGATACAAGCGCTACTAATTAACCTATAGCTGTGAAGGGAAGAGGTGAATTCATACCTTTCCCAAAAGTGTTTGCATACAAGTGAATATTACAAACCCAACTGTAATTGGATCTCTTCGATTTCCAATTCCAAGCCATTATCTATTACACTACCTGCACATCCATGCTTACAGGACCTACTATTCCCAAGCTGTCACTCATCTAAGTACTGACCAGGCTCAATGCTGCTTAACTTGGGTGATCATACAAGAACTGGTGTTTCAACATGATATGGCTGTAAGCCTACTTATGAAACAGAAATAAACAATACATTACCTTTCCTCACTATCTTATTAAACTGTACTATATATATATATATATATATATATATATATATATATATATATATATATATATATATATATATATATATAAAGGATGTGCTGAAAAGTTCTCAGTCTGGCCCAATTCTCAAAATCTGACCAAATACCAGATTTTTCTTTTAAAAAGCCTTCTTTGTTGGGCTGAGAACTATTCATCATTTCTTAAATTTGAATTGGAACATTTTATTCATCACATGAAACTAAAAGGTATGTTTTTATTCACAAGTGTTACTTACTTGGAATTAAATCCATAGAATTTGATTTTGAATAATCTTTACATGAAAAACTAATTTTTGGAATCTTTTAATATCAAAGATACAGTTGAAATTACATTTTTTGCATTTCCTGCATATTGTAAAGTCTTCAAAGAAAAGTATTAAATTATTTTATTTTATAAAACTTTCAAGGAATAAACTAGTTAAGGTCTTAAAGTACATGAAAGACAGAAAATTAGGTCAGTAATATGTTTAGTGCATATCACAAATAAGACTCAGTTCTTAATTGTAACTGGACTTTATGGGTTTTGAGGAAATAGGAAACAATTTCTTCCATTATTCCTCTTCTTCACGATATAACTTTAATACAAATAGTATGAACACATTCATATTTCGAGTATCTTATTTTTTCTCTCCTTTATTCTTCAACCTTACAATTTCTCTCTCAATTATATTCTGTTTAATATGGTTATAATAGGGTATACTTTGTATTTGAAAGAGCTGAATATTATTTAATGGTATCACTGATTACTATTTGAGACCAGGTAAAATAAAAAATTCAAATGCTGATTTTCAAGGCAGGTTCTCTGTACAACACATACATCATTCTAACTTTGTTTCCCTTATAGTAGACTGGGCTTTTGTAAAACCACATATTATATATAATAGGAGTAGATAGTTTTGCCTATCATCCAGTTCACACTCCTCCCCTGTTTTTCAACAGGAGTAGAGGTTTATCTCTTATTTCCTTTTTAGGATTGGGTTTCCAATTCCTTCTATAGTCTTTTCATTTGTTTTCATTCCCAGTAGCCCCTTGCATCTTAATGGAATTATAGCCTTGCTTGGAGTAAATTGATTATATATAATATGATTTTCTAAGCATAGCTTAGATGTGGCACAAGGCCGAAAGTATGGGGCACCCAGTGAGGATCGAACTCACTACTCAGTCGTAATTGTTCCAGTGAGACAAGCTTGCTAACTATTACACTGCATTGAGGTGTCCAATATATATATGTATGCATGTTTTTCGGCAGCATGTTTTCATTCAGACAGGTTTCGTTAAATAATTTAGACACGTTCTGTCTACTTATTTTCGATAAGATCCTTTCATATTTGCAAATAAGCTTTTTTGTGCAGTTGTTAAAAGACAACAGGAAAACATCATATTGGCTTATATTTATTCTGAGTACTTTCAACATACCATAATGTTATCATCAGGGTATTGTTAAATATAGAGTAAATATTTAGTGTTCATGGTTGTGAAGGACAAAAATGTTTGTGGTCATCCGAAGATTATCATTTTTATATGTGGAGTCACAAATGCTGTGTCATGGCTGGTTGACAGACATCAATTTTTAAGGGGAGGTAACTATGTATGCTGGCAAAAAGGTAGTTGCTAGATGAAGGAAAAACTATTAATGACAAGTGCTGATATTTAAAGACTACCTATTGTACACATTTTAAAATGTTTGTGGAGTATTCGTAGTTAATTTTATTGAGGTTTGGTTTCAATTTTTTTATATAACTAGCTTAGAACTAAAAATTCTCAAAGCTATTTAATCAACTTGAAGCTGTAAATTGATAGATTACTGGATCAATGATTTCCTCTTTCCTATCTGCATGCTTAATGTTTGCCCAACTCATTGCATGTTCTTGGAAGATCTTAGTGCCTTCAAGAATTGTACACCTACACATTTTGATTACAAACAGTGGTTTCCCACTCAAGATGTTCTATATGCCAGGATGCAAAGGACTCTTTTAAACAGTGATTTCTTGGTTTATATATTGTTTTATAAGTATTAAAAAGATACTACTAAAACACATTGCTTAATGTAAAATAAAAAAAATATATATACAGAGCAATATACAAAAATGCAATATATATATATCGCACTGTTTTTCCCAACTAGTAGTTTAATGTGTAAAGGTTGAAATTGGAAACTCAGTTCTAAATTTAGAATTGAGCTTCCTGTCTTTTTCAACTGCCTGATGATTGTGTGCATATAAAACTACAAGTTGCGAAAAACTGAGAAATATAAGTATCTTTTATATATTATATTTGTATATGTGTGTGTGTATATATATATATATATATATATATATATATATATATATATATATATATATATATATATATATATAAAAACACACACACACAATACACAGTGTGGACATAGGAATCAGTACTGCAGGATGACTGTTTCACACTTCATGATCTTCAGACTGATGGTGTGATAGTCAATTCTAATATGAAGCTGTCAGTCACCATGTGGTGTTGATTCCTGTATTCATAGTGTCTATACCTATAAATGCTCTAAATTTATACAATATATATATACATATATATATACACATACAGGAAGTAATTTAAAAATAAGAATAAATGGAATTTAGGCAAAAGATATTAAAAATTGAAACAAATTATATTCACTGTATTAACTTTATTGTTATAAATGACTTTACATGAAATAAATTGTCTGTGTATGTGCTTAACACTTTTTATGCGGTGCACAGATATTGCACTGATTTGAGGCAAAAGTATTGATCAATTTTTAAAAGACATGTTAATGATTATTATTGAAAGAGCCTGTCAAACTTTAGATAAATACAGCAAAGCTTGGGCTATGGCTTTAGATATCTCAAAAGCATTTGATACAGTTTGACATGCTGAACTTCTTCACAAGCTGAATTTTTGATTCAATCTAATCTTTCTTAGCAAGTACTGAAAGTTGAGTAGCCACTTGTCTAAACTCTTTCACATTAATGTGAATGTTCCCCCTATCTTTGAGGCTACTTTGTTTCTTATCTTCATCAATGAGCTTCCCAGTGTCATCAGTTTCCAACTTGATATCTATGCTGATGACAACTATCTACTCTTAGCTTAAGAGTAAGTCCAGTAGGTTTGATAAGGTAAAACTGGCAGTTGATCTCAAAATTGACCTATCTGATGTTAACTAGGGAAAGAAATGGCTTATTAATTTTAATGCCTCCAAAACAAACTACACTCTTTTAGTCATCTTAGAGAATTGTCTTTCATCAACATGGCTGGTGTTAACCTCCATGAAAACAACTTATTTTACCTTCTCAGTCTCACGTTTTTCAATGATATGAAGTGGAATGATTACATTGAATCTGCTAAGAAGTTTGGTACACTGTAACTTGCTAGACACTTTTTTCTCACCAGAATCCATCTTGCATATTTATAAATCTACCATGCATTGAATATTGCTGCCATACTCGGATTGGTGCTCCTGCTATATATTGAGAGATTCTAGAAAAATCTAAAAAAGTTTATGTAATGTTATCAATCCAGACCCGACATCTCAGCTTCTGTCACTTTCCCATCATTGTAATGTAACTTCTTTGTTTTTTCTATAAATATTTTGATTTGTTTTCTATGGCTTAACTCTTTGGAGGTTATTTAAAGCCAGAAAATATTTTAGATGGTAAGAATTTTTTTTTAGATAATAATGGTTTTTGTGACACATGGCTGTGGGGAGAAATCCCAATGGGATTTGTGCATAAGTGAATCCAACAGGAACTGGAACTTGGTTCTCCAATTAACAATTCTAAGCCATTATCCATTAAACCACTCACACATTCATGGTTACAGCAGCTAGTATTCCCAAGAGGTCACCCACCCAGGCTTGATATTGCTTAACTTCGGTGATCCTACCAGAACTGGTATTTCAACGTAATGTGGCCCGTAAGCCTTTAATATTAAAGGAATGGTTTCTGAATGTAGATAGACACAATCTGATGAATGATATAAAGTGATAAGGGAAAATAATATTCAAGGTTGAGAAGGAAAGACCAAAGGTTTTAGGAAAATGGTGATGAGGAAGTAAAATATGGTAGACTTTCTCTCTCTCTCTCTCATTATCTCTTTTCTCCTTAGGTCCCATTTATTTCACTCACTCACATTTTCTAATTCCCACATGATTATCTACATGCCAAATACCTGCTACCTTTTGACAATCCTTTCTTTTACCCTAATGTTCTCTGATAATTCTCCTTTGAAGATTTATATCTTTCAAGCGCATCCAAATCTCTCACTTATCCTTTCCATACTCTAAACTCCTCTCTTCAAGTGTTCCAAGAAATAGGACTCAAAATAAACCTTTACAAAGCAGAAACTATGGTCTGAAATTGGAATGAAAGCAGTAATGACACATACCATGAATTCATCAAAGAAATTCATGATGTGGAATTAATAAATACTAAACACTTCAAATATATCAGTGTATAGATTAGTTATAACAGATTTAGTGTAGGAGATAAGGAAATTGAACATTCTTGTACTAGGGGTAGTTTTGTCCAACATTACAAATTGCTTCAAAATCAAAATGTTAGCCTAAAAACTTGAGCCATGCTCTTAGTCTCATCAGATCAAGATTTTCAGATGGATGCCACACATGGCACCAAACTCATTCAAAAATATCAAAACTATCAGCTGTATACAACCACTTTCTAAGATCAATAGTTAAAAATGGCTTTGAGTGAGTGAAGCATGCAACTCTTAGCAAACTTTCTTTGAAGTTTGTGGACCAGGACTATAGAATAACAGAATTGTACCAAATAACAGAAACCACATGACTTGAGGACTTTCAAAAGCAGCAACATCTAAAATGGATAGCACATCTATCTCAAAGAGAAAATAATGATATAATCAAGATGCTAACATCCCACATCTTCAAACAAAA